GAGACAGTTTTAGATATATCGATTAATAGATAAATTGATATGAAGAAATAGATAGATAGATAGATAGATCTACAATTACTTCTTGAACGATCAAGGATTTCAACTATAATCAATGAGCAGAGTTATGTCACGTGTGATATATAATCTAGATCTCTTTCTGTGCATATATATGTAAATATATATCACGTGATGACTAGAGTGAGAAAACAAGTCACGATTGAACTCACTAACAGTCGCCTTTGAGATGAGCTTGCATTGTTCCACTACACACGGCGAACGTATTACATTTCGTTTTCGGTTTTGGTTTTAGCAGAAACGTCCGTTTGGTTCCTGTGCATTCCGCTTGGAATTTCTGGACAGATATCTGCAAAAGACCAGAATACATAGCAGCCTGAACGTTACGATACGGGCTACAAATGTCACAAAACACGCTCCAGAGAATCCCTGTATAATTACAAGCATTGTATTGTGTTAGAAAGCGAGTTTGGAATAGAACTCAAAATGGCTGTCTTGGTTAGGAGATTAATTAATTCGAACAGAATAGTTTTCTATATGGAAATATTTTATTTCTCTTGTGACAAGGTAGAGTAGCCACACGCCTAATTAAAAAAGAAACATTAATAATGGTTTGCAGAATTAGGTTGCGAACAATTGACTTTCTTTTGCCATTTTTAACCCAGTACAAGACTTAAAAGGCAATCAAAGGAGATTTTGATAAGTCTGTTGCCCAAGGACGAAAGCAAAAGAACCTCTCCTTGAGTTTGAAACATGTTACTAAATACACATTAGTAGAAGTGGGGTGTGGTCAGAACGGTTGCCCAGGGATGAACTAACATCCCCTCTTCCTGTTTTTTTAGTAATTGCCTTAAGAGTGTTTAGTTTTTATCAATTTCATCCTTTTTTTTTGTAATAACTCTAATAAAATGTTTAAAATTGCCAAAATTGGTCTATTTTCGTTTATATTAAAGATAGGAGAAAATAGGTATAATTTTGGGTATATTATGCATTTTCATACTTAGACTGTTAAGAATGCGTCTGAAATACGAAAAATAAAAAAATCGCACAGTTTATGGATAAGGCTGTGTAAATGATCGAACATATCGAAAGTGGTTTGCTAAGTTACGTGTTCAATATATTTAACTAAGCGATGCCCCTCGGTTAGTTAGATCAGTTGTGTGTGTTAACAATCAAGTAAAGATATTACTCGAGTATAATCAACATTAATTAATATGGGAAATAGCCATTATATCAATGTTGATATTGTTTGCACCAGCTTGGATATGTTAGTCACTTTGATATGTGGCTTCTACACAAGTTAATAGATGAATATGCCTACTGTATAGTAATACTAGTTCGATACTTAAGTATTAAAAAGGTTCGATTCTTGGAAGAAATTATTAAGGGTCCATTTTACAACCATATAGAATGTAATCGATCTTTTGTCAACCAAAATGAAACATTTCTAATTAAAGGCCTAGTCTATATGCTCTGTTCAAGGAACTAAACGACCAATTCGAATATGTACTGCTCTTAGATGGATTGACTACAAAATAAGACAAAAAGACACTGGAATTAGTTGCCAAGAAAGATATTATATGACATCAGGATAACGATAATCTTCCTGTTTCTTTGGTCAACGCGTGAAAATTGTTATAGCTTGTCTGAAAAATTATTATATTCTTTAGTTCAACATGTATTCCAGTCTTTAATGAATTTACTTACTGAAAAAATCCAATTCCTTAGAAGACTGCAAAAGTTACCTACACTAGTTCAAGTTCTTTGTCCAGAAAGATAGAAAAATGTGAGGATGGAATGATGAAATCGGTTGAAAAATGAACATTTGTCAATAAGTCTGTAACCTAATTTTGCATTTATTTATTTTTCAGTAGTACTTTTGGTAAGTGCACTTAACTAAAACTTCTAGATAGATCTCGAATTGAACATTATACAAAGAAAATTTCATATCGTAATTTCGCTATGTCACGCTGTGAATTTATATATTGAATGATTGAGGTAAACCACTCTACTATACTCTACGTATAATGTAGTAGACATATGAGCATATACAGACTGACAAACATTCCCACCCAAATATACCAGGTTATAAAACTGAGAAAATAAAACTGAAAATAATTGAACATGCCCATACATATATTTCCTTGGTTTGTGAATGCTTATACATGTATCTGTCTGTGATTTTTGTTTCATATATATATATATATATATATATATATATATATATATATATATATATATATATGTACCTATGTTCATATTTATCTGTCTTTGTTCATATCTATCCTCTATTTCCCGTCTTTCCAACATTCTACATTTCATTATTTCTCTCTCTCTTTCTCTCCCTTTTTCTCTCTCTTTCTCTCCCTTTTTCTCTCTCTTTCTCTCCTTTTTTCTCTCTGTCTCTACTGTTTTCTTTGTCTGTCTGCCATTCTTCTTATTTTAAGAAAAGCAATATGCGATTCACACGCACAAAACCTGCATCGACTCTGAAAGAAATTTCAGCCTGAACGATGCTCGACAATCAAGTAGACTAGTTTCTTTATGTTAGTCTCTTTGGTGTGTGGATTCCATATCAGTCAGTCAGTTATGTGCTATGCGTGATGCACGCTTAGGCGATCATGTATCTTTCGATACATAATTGATGAGGCAGATTTTTTCCCGCAGAAGGTTGCCATTTCCTTCTGCAGTTGACCAGTTGCCATCCAAGGCTATAGAACCAGGTCTTTCCTGGTATTTTCCCATAACTTTGTAGAAGAGGTTTCATACCTTTCCCAAGGGTATGAGCAAGTAAGTGAAGGTAATGGATTTGAATGGAATTCGAACTCGGCTCTCCGATTGACCAATCTGAGCTGCAATTCATTCACGGTGGAATAATGGAGAATGAAGAATCTCTAAATATATAGCAGGAGCGCCAGACCAGATGTGGCAGCAATAATGAAAGCAAGGACGAATGGTAGACTTATAAATATATAAGGTAGATTCTGGCAGGAAATATTATGTACCACAACACAGGGAACCAAAATTCTTAGTTGCAGATCTCGCAATTGATTCAATATAATCTTTCCATTTCATGTCAGCTGAAAACGTTAGTCCGATAAGGCACAATAAGTCATTCTCCTGAAGGTTAGCTTCGGTTATGAATTAGCTGAAATAATGTGCTTCAATTGTTACATAAAAATCTACGCCAAGTGTCGGGCCGGAAAAAGAAATCAGTGATATGATCTCGAAGTCAGATCCAGTGGGAGTTTTTGGTTTCTATGGCGATCTTCTAAGCGAAATGTAGATGTGGCACAAGGCCAAAAGTGTGGAGCACCCAGTGAAGATCAAACTCAGGACTAGGTCGTAATTGTTCTAGCGAGACAAGCTTGCTAACCATTAAACCACTTCGAGGTGCCATAATGATTTTCTAAACGTAAATGTGATGTGGCACAAGGCCGAACATGTGGGGCACCCAGTGAAGATCGAACCCACCACTAGGTCGTAATTGCTCTAGCGAGACAAACTTGCTAACCATTTAACCGCGTCGAGGTGCCATAATGATTTTCTAAGTTTAGTGTAGACAGGTTCATAATCTTCCCGTTTACACTCATGTCAGTTTTTTTTTTTAACAGAAGTTTTATCCTATGTTTACAGTTTAGGATTGAGTTTGCGGTCCCTTTTCCTAAAGTCTTTCGCTTTCGCTTTCACTTTCCATAACCCTTGCATGTTAGTGACATTATCACTTTGCTTAGGGTGAACTGATTTAAAAAAAAAAAACCTTTGATTATAAATACATTCTCCAAAATAACATCCTTTATTTGCCTTGAGAAAGTCCATCAGAAGAGGAAACGCGTCAGTAACGAATAATTATTCATTTTGTCTTTATTCATATATATATATATATATATATATATATATATATATATATATATATATAATATATATATATATATATATATATAAAACAGTACTAGAATTGAGAAATCTATTTTCCTGAATTTTATACATGTCAACCGAAAGCAGTAATAACTGTTCGGTCATTAAATGCCAAATGTTTCCTTATAGGGAAACGGCTGATATTACCGTTACCATTAACTTATATTGCATTGTATTTTGTATATTCTTGCTTTAGATTCAATGTTATTTTTTCTGTTGATTAAATCGCTTGTCATTTGTAAGTAGTGAAATGTTTTATATTAAGTTTAGATAAATTATTTTGACTTAAAATCGTTCTTGAGTTTGCTAGGTGGTACTATCGTTTAGTTTTATCAACGTTATCTGTATTAATTAACTTCTTGAGGATTTTGTAATCTTTCCGTTTCGCATTATATATGAAAAACTTAGGCTAGTGGAGGATTTTAAAAGTATTTTCCATATATTTTTCTTCAACATGTACATGCCGAGGACAACACATTCTAAGCCCTTTTAAGTAGAAACGAAATATTGTTTCGATATCTGGATCCCTAGACAGAGATGAGCTAACATCGAAGCGGGCCCTTGGAGCGACTCGCCGATGACATAACTGCTACATGGTCCCCACAGACCGTTCTCCGATCTATGTGCATCCGTCGACGCATGCTCGCAGATTGTGTAGCGTGGAAATGCGGGTGTACGGACACGTTGCTTCCCTCTGCTCGGCTAGGGTATACGCGCATGTGTGCTGGTTTAACGCAAGCGTCTTTCCGCAGATGTTCGTCTCTCATGTGCCCATGTGTGCATCAGTGCATGTGTTAATCCATGTTCATGTTACCCTCCCCGTTCTGCGACAGACAGCCTCCCTCCACCACCTCGCTCGCCCTCGTGCATCTCTCAAACCACTCCCTCTACCTCTCTTACTGATCCTCTTCAGGAATCCCGTCGGCATTGTAACCGACCCCCTTGCTACCCCTCCTCCTGGCGCACATACAATGACTCAGCAAAGCCTCTTTGAGCGATCAATAATTATTTCACGCCCTTAACTTGTTTGCTTGTGTGTCACTCAGTCTGTCTGCATTTTCGACGAGATGATTGTCTGTCTGTTTACAATTTTCTCTCTCTTTCTCTCTTTTTCTCTCTTCTCTCTAGTTATCTCTTTCCCCCATCTCCATTTTCTCTCTCAATATCTTCTTTATTGTTTCTCTCTCTCTCTGTCTCTCTGTCTCTGTCTCTCTGTCTCTCTCTATCTCTCTCTCTCTGTCTCTCTCTCTCTCTCTCTCTCTCTCTCTCTGTCTCTCTCTATCTCTCTCGTTGTCGTTTTTTTCTCTCTTTTCTATTCTTTACTTTCTTTCTCTCTCTCCGTTTTTTATCCTCCTTCTCTCTCTCTCTCTTTCGCTGTCTCTGTCTCTCTCTCTTTGTTTTTTCCTCTTTTTCGCCCTCATTCTCTCTTTCCCACTTCTGCACTTTCATTGTCACTCTCTCTCTATCTCTCTCTTTCTCTCACGTTCTCTCTCTCTCTCTTTTCTCTACTTTTCTCGGTCCTTTTTTTATCTTGATGCTCTCTCTTTCTGCTTTTTTTTCTCTTTTTCTCTCTCATTATGTCTTTCCCACTTCTCCACTTTCGCTCTTTTCTCTCCCTTTTTATCCTCATGCACTCTCCCACCCTCTCTCTCTCTCTCTCTCTCTCTTTCTCTCTGTTTTTTATCTTTTTCTCTTTCGTTCTCTCTTTCCCACTTCTCCATTTTCGCTGTCAGTTTCTCTTTCATTGTCTCTCTGTCTCAGTCGGTATCGACCTCTCTCTCTCTCTGATTTTCTTTTCTCTACATTCTCTCTCTCCCTTTCTTATCCTCATTGCTCTTTCTCTCTCTTTCTCTTTCTATACCCATTATCTTTTTCCCTATCTCTTTCTTCTTTTTATCCCTATCTTTTCCGTTCGCTTTTTCTCTCACCTCTTCCTCTTTCTCTCACCTCTTCCTCTTTCTCGTTCTCCTTCTCACCCCCTTTCACTCCCTCTCTCTTTTGTTCGCTCTTTCTTTTCGTCTTCATTTCCCTCCCATTATTTTTTTCCATACCGCTTTCTAGCTCTACTCCTCTTTCTCTCTTCCTTTTTCTCTTTTTTCTTCTTCCTTTTTCTTCCATTCACTTTTTCTTCGTCCCCCCCCCATCTCATTCTCTCCATTTCTCTTTCTCGCTGCTTATCTCTTTCTTTTTCATCATCTCTCTTCGCAATTGTTCCTCTTCTTCTGCTTCTCTTTTCACCACTTTCTTTTTCTCTAACTCTCTTTATATACGAGTGTTAAAACGTTCAGGACCCAAGCAAAACTGATAATGAAATTTTTGGTTACATTTAGGGAACACATTGGGGCCGATAAGTTTTCTGCACCCATTCATATATATATATATATATATATATATATATATATATATAATGTGTGTGTGTGTGTGTGTGTGTGTGTGTGTGTAAAATCCGTGGGTAAGTAATCCAAGTGAATCTTATTAATATAAAATAGTGAAAATAATCCACAAAAGAGAGCTCAATATATTTATTATAGAGCATAGAAATGAATTACATAAAATGAAACTCAATTGTATCCAACTTTTTATGGCCATTTCGTTCCTCGGGATGAATTCCTTGGAGCTTGTCAATACTAAAACGTTTTATAAAACGGTTGGTTACGATTCAAATGTTTTAGTATTGACAAGCTCAAAGAAATTTGTCTCAGGGTGCGAAATAGCTATAAAATGAGGTACAATTGAGTTTCATTTTATGTAATTCATATATATATATATATATATATATATATATATATATATATGTGTGTGTGTGTGTGTGTGTGTGTGTGTGTGTGTGTGTGTGTGTGAGAAAGACAACTCTGAATCCAAGACCTGCTGAGGGTCGTTTGGGGACCTTAGGCACGTGTGCACCAGGTCTCTGTATTCAGCCCTTCAAAAAGTGTGGTTGGTTCTGCACAAAGCCTTCACCAGTATAACCAAATCATATGTGCTGGTGTCTGGGCTGTCGGTTCCTAGGAACTGAGCTGCCTGACCCTCATACGTCGAATACGACTGAAGAGTCCATCATTTATATCTATATATCTATATCTATCTATATATATATATATATATATGTGTGTGTGTGTGTGTGTGTGTGTGTGCGTGATAAAACACAGTTTTATGGCATGCTTTTAAGGTTAAAATACTCAGTATCAGGAATAGAGCGTATTTATGTAAACATAAAAGTGGACATTGAAGTTAACACCCAGACACTCTGTTACATGGTAAACGTTATCAACAGGCCATCTCACTCTCTCTCTCTCTCTCTAACACACACACACACACACACACACACACACACATTCTCTCTGAATGGCCCTTTCACTACAGAATTAATAATTATCGCAATCGAATTAAGTCGACTCCCCATGAAAAAATTATTACCTATAGAAAAACATTTTAAAAACATTTTAAAACTCATGCCGAATCTCTATCTATAAAAGACAGGATTCGTGTGTGTGTGTGTGTGTGTGTGTGTGTGTGTGTGTGTGTGTGTGTGTGTGTGTAACAGAATGCACGGCCGCAATTTTCGACAGATTTGCACCAAAAGTTACATGCACATGCTCCAAATTAGCAGGAAGGCCATACCGACTATGCATTTCTCAACTCTCATGGATAGTGGAAATAATCGATTTTTTCATGCTTCTACGGCAGTTTTCATGTAGTTTGCGGCCATTTTGTACTGGCCAGAGTGAGGGCCTATAGCTGGCTGCCACGAATAGGCAGGAAGATTCTATTAGCTAGCGTGAGAGGCAACAGCTGACTGACATGAATGTTAACTAGCATGCTAGCATGCAAAAATATCGATACCTGCATTCGTCACAAGGGGGAAACATTTAAATCTGCATGGCACTTTACTCCAATTTTCTCATTCGCTTGCTTAAACTCAACGTTGATTCTGATTCCGCAGAACTGGGTTGGGTTTGAAAAAGTATTTGTTGTTAACATTCTTTTTTCATTCGGTTTTTCCAGTTATGAGTCCTTTTTTTAAAGCTGATCGTTTTGTGTTCATTTTGTTTAGTTCTTTTTTCGTAACAGATTTAATGTTTAGTATAGAGCTTAGAAAAATTCGCAGTGTGAGATAGGCAAGAAGTAAGGCATGTATCAACATCAGCACGGCAAAGGGCACTCCTTTAAAGGCAAGGAAGGGCAAAAATATTTTAAGTCAAGTGATAGCGATTGCTGTATGAGTCGTACGATTTTTGAATCAAGCACGGGCAACGCCGGGTCATGCTGCTAGTTCCCTATAATTAAGAGAGTAGAAAAGTTCAGAGCAGATAACATTAGAAAGATTTTAGAGTTCCATGAAAATAAGTGGATACATCGTTTAAAAACGCACTATCCAGACGGGCTTAATCACAAATTTAACAATATAGATAGTATTAATATATAACCCCACAAATCAGGACCTACCCACATTTCTCCCCCACACAAGACAGACATGCTTACGGAGGTGTTTAGGCCTCACACTTATACACACACCCACACTAATATACACACTTACACACATCATACTCACTCAATCCCCAATGAGCCAAATGATAACACACACCCATAGTAATATACACGCATACATGCCTCATAGTCACTCACTCCCTAAGAACCAAATAACACACACACACTTAACAGAGACATTTCCCCTTTCCAGGATCCAATAAAACTGTAAAAATCACCAAGGGAATTCAGAGCAGCATGAATCCATCTAGCGCTTATCTTAAATAACAACTTAAAAGAGACTGTTTGACCAACACAAGGGCTGACAAAAATTCATGTTAAAAAATAAAAAAAAACTACAGACAAAAGTTCATTTTCTCCATCAAGACATTCATATCTGTAGTTCACTGCAACCAGCAAGCAGAGATTTTAATTTCCTGATGATGGCCATGTTGGCCGAAACTAGTCGAGGAATCTAAATGAAATAATAATAAAAACGAAGGAATATTAATATACAACCCAGGTTGTCTGAAGATTTTAATTTTTTAATTTTTTTTATTGTTCAATATATATATATATATATATATATATATATATATATATATATATATGTGTGTGTATGTAAGTATAGGATTGGTGTATACGAAATAAATTCCAATAACCAACAAATATTTTCTAAATAGAGTGCTCAATACAGAGTAGAGCAAATATAATTATTTATTCGAAAATAATAACATATATATGTTATAAAATCATTACAAAAATAGCCATTTTGTTTCAACACTTCTAGTGTTTTATCAAGTGATGATGTTAAAGTTGATGTTATTATTTTTGTTATAATTTTCGAATAAATAATTTTTTCATATATATATATATATATATATATATATATATATATTTGAAATTAAGAATATATCGAGATTCAGCAAAGTTATATAATCTATAACATTATTTCCGGACCATTTATTATAATCTTCTTCTTTTACATGCCGTATCCCTTCAGGACGTTGGTGATCATGGTCCTCCACATCTTTCTGTCCGTTGTGTCTCTTAATAAGTTTGCTCTTTTTGTTATTTCGCCCAAAACCTGTTTTACCATCCATTGATTCAAGTTTATCAAGTATGTTACGTGCTGTTTTCCTCAGTCCCTCTTTCCTTCAATCTGTCCTGTGAGTATCGAATTTTCCAAGCCCTCTTTTCTGATTACGTCCCCTAGAAATTTCTACTGCCTCTTCTTGATGTTAAGTGTAAGTTTACTTTTTCTTTAAGACCTCGTCGTTGCTCACATGTCTGGTCCATGGTAATCGCAGTGTCTTTTTGTAGAAACACATTTTTGTTGCTTCAAATATCTTCTTCATCTTTGAGGAGATTGTCTAGTATTCGTTGCCATATAAGAGGACAGGTATTACGAAACAATTCAATACTAGTTATGGTCTTTGAAAATTCCTTACAGTTTAACCGAAAGTACTCGGGATCAACAAATTTAGGACAATAGTTCAGTCCCGCAAATAAGGCACTTATATGTCAAATGTCGGTCAACATGTATTTAACGATATATATATATATATATATATATATATATATATATATATATATATATATATATAATGTATATATATATATATATTTCATCCACAGGCAGACTGTTTCATTATATCACAGCTCATCAGTGTGGCTAGAGGTCCGGTTGCCTCTAGCTAGGATCGAAACCCGACTGAATTGGTACAGGACAGGGATGAAGAGGAATTTAAGCATATTTATTTTTAGATAAACACTCAGTGACTGAGAGAACCCGATTCGATTTACCGAAGAGTCTTGCATTATTGGCCGTAATAGTCACTGTTTACAAACCCAGACTTCCTCCCCAGAGAGCTCAACCGAAATAAATTTTTCAGGAGCATATATATTGTCATCCACAGAGAGGTTTCGCTGTATCACAGCTCATCAGTGTGTAGACGTCCGGTTACCTCTAGCTGCAATGAGTCATTCATTTAAAAAGTAGATTAGTAAAGTTAATGATATAAAAGAACTTTCCGACGTGCAAATTATCGGGATAACAACTGAGACATTACTCTATTTATTGAACAATTTAGTTCATGCCATATTGACTGATAAACTCCTACAATAAAAAATTCTCAAATTGCCATAATAGTAAAAAAACGCACTCTCTTACATTTCCAAAAAAAAAAAATCAACCTTAGCGTTGCGACTGCACGCTCCAAAAGTTTTTATCCGTTAACAATAATACATTTCTAAAAAAACATATTTCGATTCGCATTTAATTTCTTCGTCTCTGATGCTACCTGAATTTTACCAAAAACAAAATAATTTCCATGCCTGAAGATGACTGAATGTACAGTCGAAAGTACTTGCGTATTAAAGAAAGACATTATACAGCTTATAATTTTTAAAAACAGGGTTCATAACATTCATCGAGTGATTTGTAGGTTAATGCACCTTTAAAGTTTTGTTTGCGAAGGGATTTCGCCATTTTATATCATTAACTTTACTAATCTACTTTTTGTATGGATGATTCATTGTAATATAAATTGAACTGCAAAAGATCCATTTAGGTGAAACCTAAGTAGGTAGTTCCTGGCTCACTAAGATTTTTTATACTCTGCTCTACTTAGTGTATTGAGCACTGTATATTTTTCCTTATTTTACACAATTGTTTTTTGTTGTTTGCAAAGAGGAATAAAGAGGAAAAAGAAGAGGAAAAAGAAGAGGAAAAGAAGAGTAACAAAAAGAGGAGCAGGCGCAGGAGTAAAACTGCAACCTGTTTAAAAACGGAACTATTTATAATGGCTACCTTAATAGTTTCTACGGTGATTTTTGGTACAGTTCCGAGTGTGCCAAATATTATGGGCACTACTCTAATATTCATAGCACAAATCATTCTTAAGTCTCTGGTTAGCATCACATTTTACTCTCCGCCCGCACTTCACTTTTTAAAACTGCGTGTGTACGATCCGACATATTTTCTTTTCTCTTTTTACGATTATTTGATTCACAATCAAGTTCAAACAAATTGATTGAAGATAAAGATTGAATTCACTATTTACATATATAGTTTGATTAGAACTTCAAATATATATATATATATATATATATATATATATATATATATATTCAAACACACACACACACAAACATATATATATATATATATATATATATATATATATATATATATATATTCAAACATGTTTTATTGAATAATATAGGCATATTGTGTCTACTTATTTTTCTACTGATCCTTTTCTGTTGTCTTGATGTTAAGACAGAATTCATTAAAGAAGGCGTCGTAGATTTTTTTAACTCATTAAACTTTTCGACATTTTCAATGCTCATCTTCAGGGGTATATTCAAAGACAAATTTATTGCAACTGCGATAAAAACTGTTTTCTGCTGTGATGGTGATTTTTAAAATCACGCGCAAACTCTCTCTGCTATAGTTACTTTAAAATTTTAAATATAGCCGTTATAATTATGGCATTTATTTTTCGGAAATTGGTAGAAATATCAAATGGCATTAAATGTTACATGCACTTTAATATGTTGTTGCTATATTCGGAATTAATTTTGTTGAGTGTTGGCTGCTTGATTTTTGATAGAGAGGACCGCGAATATTTCTAATTTTTTATTTTTATTTTTGTGGTCTAGTATATAGGTGTTTTTATCAAGTATTTTCTTTTATTGCGAAGAGGGTCATGTGTTTTTAGATGTTGTGAAATAGAACATGTATCCATCAAATGAAGTGTAAGTCTTCTTGATAACGGTGTGGTCTTCAAACAAACACATGTACTTACTTTTTGTCAAAGATACAATCGGTCAAAGGACATTTAAACTGATATACAATATTACTGTGACGGTGAAGTGTTCTTGCGTATGCTTATATATATATATATATATATATATATATATATATATATATATATATATATATATAGTTATCCACAGACAGACTGATATGAGTGCTAAATTCATGGCGAAGAGCTTTCAGCGTTAATTAGCATCAGCCGACAAATTCCCTTTCTTCCAAAGTGCTCAACGTACGAGAGTGGGCGTATATATATATATATATATATATATATATATATATATATATATATATATATATATATATATATATATGTGTGTGTGTGTGTGTGTGTGTGTGTGTGTGTATCTGTGTATATATTTATATATATATATATATATATATATATATATATATATATATATATATATATATATATATATGCATACATACGCCTCCTCGCTCTCTATATATATATATATATGTATATTTTTTTAGGCATTTAAAACAACATGACTGTCCGCACACACAATTCCGTAAAGTACTTGTCGAAAACACAATTGTACTTCGACATGAAAACAATAGACAAAAGCTAAAAATCCTTGAAGCATTATACATTAAACAGTTGAAACCCAACCTAAACAAAATCAACTATGGAATCTCTACAAATATCCTTAAATGTCTGTAGTTGGTGACGGAGGCCATTGATTTGTGCCAACGGCTTTCCATACTTCATACTTCTCCAATTCACTCTCGCGTGGTCATGTGTGACGTCATGAGATGCGGTGCGATTTTCGCTTCTAGCGTCTTATATGCACGTGTTTATCGTTGCTTAGAGATCATCTATATAAACATGCACAGACTGTCATCACTTTCTTGTCCGTATATTGCTTAATATGTTGTAATTGACATCTTTGATAATGGCTTATGTAAGCCGAAAGCTTAGATTGTATTAAAAAAATATGGATCAATATTGTGAATTTCTTTCTTCGTTCAATTATAATGTTATTAAACGTATTAGCCATTATGAAAAGAGTTTACATAAAATAAATAGACAACACTTGTCTATACTATTTAATGAAACGTGTATGAATATATATACATATATGTGTGTGTGTGTACTGATCTCGGAAAACTGACTGCCTTGCACTATGTTTTAAGAAGAATCTATAACTCACAATTATTTACCCAGGTAATTGGGTATAGCTAGAAGATGAACGCACGAGTTGGCGCCATGCTGTTTAAGAAGTCTTACGAATGGACAGAAAACGCGAAGTAGCTCAGAACACAAAACGGCAAGTAGAAGGCGCTTACTTTTGAGCCTTTAAACAAGTAAAACATTTGTGTACCATTGTATAGAGTAACTCTAACCCTAGCCCCTAACCCTAATCATTGAGTTGCAACTGTTTTATGAAGTCATCCCGCTTAATCCACCACTAAATTTCACCAGACTGCTGAAGACGACTTATCCGTTCAGTGTCGTTTTTCCTTGGCATTAAACAGACACTCACGTGGCTTACAGCTTCTGTATACCCAAACGCTCATGAATTATAAACTTAATACATTTCCATAAATATCTCTAGTGTGTAAGCAAGACTTTTGATCAAGAATCGTCGATCGTCTATCATTAGGCTATGAATATGATCAACAATTCCAAGAGTTGACACCGCTGAAGGCCCTCCTAGACCATGCTGCATCTTGACTCTTAGATGCTGGAAGCTGGAAAACTATTTCCCAGTTGAATTTGGTTAACACTTGTTTGCGTCATACACACATGAATATATCCTCAAGAGATTTTTCTTCTCCAGGTACAGGAAATTCATGATGAGCAAGAGTTGAAAATTCCACGCCTTCTGTTGACTGGTTCAGTCAGTGATCTGGAAGAAATTCAAAACTAAAAAAAAAAAAAAAGAAGAATTCTGTAAATTGCCACTGTTGAGTATAAAAGAACATTTTTTCCAGCTTCAGTGAAGAACCACGAGATCAAAATACGAGAATTGGATAATGTCGAATATGTTTCAATTTGTTCAATATTTAACGTTAAGATGGGTTACAATAAATGATCACTTACGCGGATTTACGTGCACTTATCCAGAATAAAAAGTGTATTAACAATATCAAAACCCCATACTGTATCTTTTTATGACAACATAGCATATTAGGCTTCTGGTGAGGTTTCAGTAATCGAATTCTTCCACCGGATCGGTTGATTTGCGCCACTCCTAACTTCCGAGTCCATCTGCGCCGGTTTAGGAATTTACAATACTAGATTCGTTGCCACCAAGACTCAAGTTACCATACTGTCCTACTATTTAATAAGTATATAGGGGAGAAGAGATAGGTTCATATCTTTCCTAAGGTATTTGCAAGAAAGTGAATGCAAAAATCCTGCCTGAATTTCGAGCTCGGCTGACCGAGCGGTTACCACTAAGCCGTCAGTACATTCGTCAGACGCCATATTAATAACCTATATAGGCTACTTGGTTGTTTATATAAGAGTTGCGGGAATAAGCTTTGGATGAACAGACATTGAAAGATTTTCATTTTCATTTTTACGTCGCTGACACGAACGACCATGAAGAAAGAATGTTTTCTTATCACTGAATACCAAAGACACACCTCGTAACATCACCAGAAACGTACACGATGGTGTTAAAAGAAATAATGTCTTGTTACAGGGACACATGCCTACCATGCTGCTGCAAGGAAATGATTACCAGCGGTCCGTTTCGATACTACTGGAGCCATACTTACTCTGATCTGTACTGTGGACATTGTACAGCCACTGCTTCCCTTACAATGGATTGATATGGCGGATAGATAGATAGATAGATAGATAGATAGATAGATAGATAGATAGATATGAAGAGACTGAGATAGATAGATATGGACAGACTGGGATAGATAGATAGATAGATAGATAGATATGAACAGACTGAGATAGATAGATAGATAGATAGATAGATAGATAGATGAACAGACTGAGATAGATATATAGATAGATAGATAGATAGATAGATAGATATAGATAGATATGAATATGATATATATATATATATATATATATATATATATATATATATATATATATATATATATATATATATATAGGTCATACTCTCTATGTGTCAACAAAGTGACATCCGTGATATTTTATCCAGGAGACCCCCACCTGATCTAATCGGGAAATTCTTTTGAATGAACACTATCCTCACTGCGTCTATGACGTCACCTCCTGCCACTTCACTTCGGCCGAGTCCAAACTGAATAAATTGTCAACAGCTGAGCGATGTCTTCTTTGTTGGAGTCGTGAATCAAATAGGACTCATTCTAAATAACGTGTGGGAGTTATTATATAGCTGTCCCGAACCTATTCTATGAATGTGCGTTTGACCACTGTCGGCCAAAGCCCCACTGATGAGCCGCGTCCAACATGCGCAGTAAATCACCGGGATGAACATCATCCCTCTCGAAAGTACATAATCCGATCTCTGTTAAACATTATTTACATTATTCGGACTATTGTCCTCATCTTTGTCACCATAGTTATCACAACGTTTCGGCCGTTGTACGCTCCGGCCTTCTTCAGGTGGTTGGAATGTCGAACAGAACCCTTTATTTCGCTCACTTGAGTAGACTGTTCTAGTTCCACGTGCCATGTCTAATGGATGACAGTTATCTGAAAAGGGAGAGATATTGCACATTAAAGTTGACTGGAATGCATATAGACGGGGAGTGATTTCCCTCTGAAAGTTCTCCACTGCCTTAACCGGGTATTGAACTCACACTCTTTGGGTCCTGTCACTGGATCTAACCAACGCCTTTATCCACTGTGCCATGTGTCATTGAGGAAATTCTGGGATCAGGAGATATAAACAGAAAGGATAAAATTACTAAGAGCTACAAGAGACAGGAAGTAGTGGAGAGCGTTGATCCCCCATGTTCTGTAAACACACATGGCACATAGAAGAAGAAGAAGAAGAAGGATGCATAATGATTATTCATGCTCAAAAATCTACCGAGAACTATGTGTTCACTTTCGGACAGCTAGCCACCCAAGCTAGGGTCACAAACCTATGTTGGAAAAAAAAGGATAACTTAGAAATTGTCAGGCGGGGTCTATGAACGCCATCTCGTAAAACCTACTTGTTACCGAAAGCACAACTTCAACACCGAGCATGCTAGGGTTGTAACCCTACAGTCCATGGGGATTCAACAGATTCAAGAGTAGAAGTGGAGGAGTGATATATATATATATATATATATATATATATATATATATATATATATATATATATATATATGAATTGTCTGTATCTGGACAGCATTTTTTCATTGATGCAATTTCATTAAATAATATAAAATGAAAAAAATGCAGCCTAAATACGCACAATTTAAATTACATGATCCTGCAGCCCACAAAACTATCAACACATGGAATTATAAATGTAGTTTTGTGAAAAGGCAAATTGAAATAGCCAAGAAAAAATTGAACACCCTTAACAGCAACAAACAGGACATCTATGCCCAAGTTTGTCGTTGCTTGGAAATCTTCCATGCAAACAGAAACAGACTATCATTATTGTTTTGTCCGTGTATTGTCTGATATATTGAAATGTAATTGTCATCTTTGATAATTGCTTATGTAAGCCGAAAGATTAGGTAGGATTAAAAAATATGTATCAATATGATGATTTCCTTTCTTCGTTTAATGATAATGTTATTAAGCTTATCAGACGTTATGAAAAGAATTTACATAAAATAAATTGACAACACTTGTCTATATAATTTAATGAAACATGCATCAATATATATATATATATATATATATATATATATATATGATGAAAGCGGATATTTTAGTAATCCATGGTAATATCTTATTTCGCAAAATCAAATCGGTCTGATAAAATGAGATCGATTTGATATCGCGAAATAAAATATTACCATGGAATTATAAAGTATCCGCTTTCATCATTGTTATTTGCCTTGTTCTTATATTGAGCACTCTTTAGATTTATACCTATTTTGGAATTATCCATACTAATTATCCAACAATATATATATATATATATATATATATATATATATATATGTCTGGGAAAAATATATGACAAAGTGGAAAAAAAATTCCTTGTGATGCGTTCCGTCCTTTAGGGCTTCATCGGACTAAATTTTTTCCTTTGGTTCGACTACATATGCGCACAATCGAAGGATGATGGAAAATTTTAATTTTAATTTTTTTATTTAGACTATTTTTTTTTTAAGCGTTTCACTCCAAGCAAGGCGGGAAGCCACTAGCACGCAAGGGGTTACAGAGAGTTGGAGCGAGAGCAAATAGGAGTGATAGAGGAAAGAATGAAGAATGAATGAAGAGAAGGCTAGGGGATAGATCAAGGCATCTGGAGACGTCGACTGACATTACATTTGAATAGTTGGAGATTATAGCTATCAGGGAAAACAGGAAGAGGGGAGGGAGTTTCACAGGCGAGAAGTGCGAGACATGAAGCTATTGGAGTAGAAGAGACGGCTACATTTAAAAAGTTTCGACAGTGAAAGGGTGTGAGTGTGATGCTAGCCTAGTAGAACGCTTAAATTCACCGGAGCAGTTACAATGAAAGCATTTGTAAAAAAGACAGAGGGGGGCTACGGCACGTCTGTGAGAGAGCGACTGCAGATTTCATTTAGATTCTTGTTCTCTTTTTAAAAATTTGTTGATATATTTCATCCAATATTGTTCTTTATATATATTTATATATATATATATATATATATATATATATATATATATATATATATGTGTGTGTGTGTGTGTGTGTGTGTGTGTACACAGACAAACGTTTAAAAGCTATCTTGGTTAACCAATATGTTATGGTTTAACGAGTACGACTCGTAGATCATTGGGGTGGTAACACCTGTTAGGGTCCCAGTTAAAGGCAAATATGGAACACTCGAACTGGGATCAAAGCGCTACAAAAGTATAAGAAATAATTTTTATAGTTAAAATAGCAACAGTAGATTTTAATAGTAAAATAAAATTAACAATCCCCCAAGGAAATAAAATGTGGCCATTAAATGACCCATAAGGTGTTGATATGCCGTTAAACAGGGTAGAACTGTTGCTAAGGAATCTTTATGCAGAAACGAGCTAATGTCGTTATTATTATTATTGAATATATGATAAAAAACCCTTCAGGGAGAGAATGTCGCTCTGCTCTGAAATCAATTAATAAATTATTTTTGAAAAAGGAACACATCCTTCCAATTTTGTCGATTTTTCTTAATCTGGAGGGTGGAGCCCAAACTCTGGTTTATAATGTATGTGCATATATAATGAATGGCCTATAATGTATGTGCATATATAATGAATGGCCTATAATGTATGTGCATTTATAATGAATTAGCATATATAGTTCGGGTTAGAATTATTTTCTCTACTTCAAAATTAATGAATAAAACTATAATCCGACAAAATTTTAAATCGGAATTTCAGGTGCATTTTTAATCAAATGATCAAATAATCGATTTGAAAGTATGTACTCAGAACATCTCATATCAATGTCAAGCAATAACTAAAAAAAAAAAAAAAAAAACATCAAAGAAAAAATTAACAAAAAATATTGACCCCCTTGCTTCAAATAATCAATTGTATAAACTGCATACCTTAGTATATCCCTTAACCGTTTTTGTTAGTTTCTTACAAAGTTCACCCCATATGCACAGACAGGTGTTTTCCTCCATTCTTCCTTGGCAATAGCTTCTAACTCCACCCAAATTCTAAAATTTTTGTCGCCTCCTTTTTCTTCAAATAGACCCATAAGTTCTCAATGGGGTCTTAAATCAGGACTCTTTCTTTCGGGTGTTTCTACACATGTTGGAACGTACAGTGCAACCCCAAAGACAGCATTGATGCATATTGTATCATATTATTTAAAAGAATACCCAAATAGATTTCTTTATCACTGACACCATGGACTCTTACTCGTTCTCCTGGTCCCAAAGCAGTGAAACATCCTCAAAGCATAATGCTTTCACCATCGTGCTTAATTATAGGGGGGTATCTTTTCGGTTTTGGGCTTCAAACGATTTCCTCCATATATACCGGAAGTTCATGTGACCAAATAATTCTAGTTTAATCTCATCTGACCATAATGTTCCAATATCCGATTCCATGGTCTAGATGACTTCTTGCAAAAGCTATTCTGCTTTTTTGGTGTTTAACGTTATGCAAGGGTTTTTTCTTGGGCGAAAGTCCTACTCTGATGAAGGCATCTAGGGATTATCGATATATTCAGCCCTGCTGTCTGTAAATCTTTGACAATATCTATCGCGCTGTAAGAATTCTTTGAGACATCAATAACAATTTTCCTTTCCATTCTTTCCGAAATTAACTGTTTTCTATCAGACCATAATTTACTCTCAGCAAAACAAGCCTCGTTGTACTTATTGACACTGCTCCAGATTGCCGATCTAAGAACATTGAAAGACATCGAAATAGCTTTAGATCTATCACCTTGCTTTGAACACAACTATTTTCATTCGGATCTTCATATCACGTTCAGCAGTTTTCACCATGGTGCCAGAACAAATGAATTATCACGATACGCAGCACTCACATAGTGTTTCCGTCACAACTTCTAGGATGTTTTACAATCAGGTCAATAATACTTCATTTTCAAAGATTGACACAGTTTTTCTAAAAAATAAATTAAAGACCGGAAGATCTGAAAAATTCACATATTATTTAAAACTAAATATGTAATAAACTACCTTTGCCGAATTCACTAAGTATTTCTTACGAAAAAAAACAAAAAACAAAAACATTTACAGGTGTGTAGCTGTCAATTTCGTAAACACATATATTTTCACGTTCTACCATATATATATATATATATATATATATACACTATCATATATATTATAATATATATATAATTAATATAATAATAATAATAATATATATATATTCTATCATATTATATTCTTACTCTGTCCTGGACATTGAGTTCTACCTGGATTCTATCCTCTTGGGAATTTATATACATATATATATATATATATATATATATATATATATATATATATATATATATATATATATATGTATATTGACCACTAATATTCTCTCTCTCTCTCTCTCTCTCTCTATATATATATATATATATATATATATATATATATATATATATATATATATATATATATATATATATATATATATATATATATATATATATGTATATATAATCAATTCACCCCAACCATGGCGATAATGCCACTAAAGCGCAATGGGCGACGACACGGTGTGAAAGAGAATGAGAAAACTTTAGAAAGAAATGGGAATTCAATCTTAAACAGGAATCATGAAATAAATCTCTTGTTCAAAATACCGGACATAAATGCCAACCGGATTTTAAGTCAGCTTATCTACTCCTATCATATATATTTATCTATATCTATATCTACATATATATATATATATATATATATATATATATATATATATATATATATATATATATATACATTGCATCTCCTGTAGGGCCACCCCCGAAGACCCCCCGCGGCCAAACCAGCGGAAGTAGGCAGCGCCCGACAAGCTGAAGTAAAGCAGGTGGGCGTTGGCCGACTAAGCCTTCGACAGCCCGATGCAACAAGGGTGTGCTAGATTTCACCTGTCTCAATCCCCTCTCGGGAGGCGCTTCTGGCCAAGTGTGTGGGCTTCTCCGTCGCTCACGGTTGTCCACCAAAATCAAATTATCTCAAATGGTTGCGTCAGACACTCTTTGATCGACAGCCATCTTGGCCACTGCCATAAGGGGCGGGGAGGAAATAAGAAGAGACGATGATGATTCCGATACCCGGATGCGCGCCGGTTCCGACAACAATATATACGCGTTTGTAGAGGGGGTGAGAGAGAGAGAGAGAGAGAGAGGAGGATAGTGTGTGTGTGTGAGAGAGAGAGAGAGAGAGAGAGAGAGAGAGAGAGAGAGAGAGAGAGAGAGAGTGAGAGTGAGAGATCCTAACTTTTTTTAAATGCCATATTCCTCCAAGACAAATGAGGTCATGGCTCTCCACAGTTTCCATTACTTTATTATCTGCTAAATGCTATGACTTTTTGCGAAAGATAATAAAATGGTTTTCTCTTGATTTCTCCAGGTTTACTCAATTCAGAGTTTTCCTTCTGGCCAAAATGACGCCTAAAAGTCTACTCTGCTCTTAAACCTGTAGCTGAGTTTGGGGACAGAAAAGCTTCTGCAGTCATAACTTTTTTTATCATTTCAAACACAACAGATTAAATAAAAATTTGAACGTGGCTTACCGATTCCATGAGGATAACCACAGTGCTACACATTATCCTTATTCCATACATTTTCTATCTGTTCAATACGTTATAAAGAGGCTACAAAAGTGCAATATTGTGCAAGACTAGAGGAAGTATCTCAAGCCTCTTTCTCTGGCAATTGTGTTTTCCTATTCGGGGGCGTTACATTTATAAAAGTCTGTGTCTCACGAACAGATCGCAATTCAAAGGTTTAATATTGGACCAAGAAAAGGAATATATCTTATTATGAGGTCAATGTAAATACTTGTAAAATATTGTTTGGTACTAGTGTTATTTTGTTATTATTATTATTATTATTGAGAGAGAGAGATTGAGAGAGAGAGAGAGAGAGAGAGAGGGGGGAGAGCATAAGTAACAATGGCGTACAAATTTCAGTCAGTCAGTTATATGCCATGCGTGATACACGCTTAGGCGATCATGTATCTTTCGATACATGACTGACTAGCCAGATTTTTCCCGCCGTATGTTGCCATTTCTTTCTGCGGTAGATCAGTTGCCATCCAAGGCTATAGAATTCGGTCTGTCCTGCTATTTATCCATAGCTGAGGTGGAGAGAAGAGGTGGATTCATACCTTCCCAAGGGTATTAGCACGTAAGTGAATATCAGTTCAGTTATGCGCTATGCGTGATACAAACCTGGGCGATCATGTATCTTTCGATACATGACTCACGAGTCATATTTTTTCCCGCAGTAGGTTGCCATTTCTTTCTGCGGTAGACCAGTTGCCATCTAAGGCTATAGAACCCAGTCTGTCCTGCTATTCATCCATAGCTGGGGAGTAGAAGAAGTGGATTTACACCTTTTCCAACGGTATTAGCACCTAAGTGAATATAATGGATTTGACTGGAATTCGAACTGAGCTCTCCGATTCCTCAATCTGAGCCTCTATCCATTACTCTACCGTAATTTATGAAGTTCATTGCTATCATCATAGTACCTAATCTGATAAGGATATACCAACCAAATATACTGGAGCGGGGCTAAGAAACGCTGGAGGACAAATATGCAAAAGAAATCCTAATATAACCATCGCGACACAAAGTCTGACAAGTGTATACCAGGCACATGCATCACAGCCAAATGTGCGCGATATGGAGACAACTTTTGCAGGTGGGGCCCAGTTAGAATTTTCCTTCTTCAGATTGTAAAACCCAATCAGCTCAGATGGTCTACGTTTACGTTGACGGATACGCATGTCTTAATTAGTCTTTTTGTTTTGTTTTGTTTTTTTTTTTTTAATTTTTTTTTTACGAATTGGTCAAACCCAAACTCAAACAAAAACATTGTTTTCAATCGTTATGAGTCTACCGATTGAATAGACTTTTATTATAAACAATTGTCTTGTAAATAGAATTTTTAAAGCATTCTGAATGTAAAAATAAAGAAAAAAGTGTGCAAGAGAAAAAGAAACACTACCTGCCAAAAAAAAAAAAGTGAAGTTTTGTTGAAATCGGTTGAAAAATGTAGGGAATCCGATCCCATATATAAACACACACACACACACACACACACACACACACACACACACACACACACACACACACACACAAACAAACAACCTGGGTTTTATAATAAGTATAACTCGATATGAGTTGTCCCCCTTTCATTCTGGCGACAGTGATGCCTCTTAATCGTGTTTTCAAATTGATTTCGTGCAAAAACAATTGTGTTTTCCAATTTTAGGCGCTGTCAGAACCACCACAAGGTAATTTTACGTAGTCCTGTGAAGTTTTGTTGTAATCGATTGAAAAATGTAGGAAATCCGATCCAATATATAAACGAACACACACACACACACACACACACACACACAACCTATGTTTTATAATAAGTATGATATATGAATTCACCTTTCTCGAATGTTTTTTCTTCTCTTATTTTTTTGGTGTTGCATGTGTTTTTCTTTTGAAATATCTCTTTCGTTACATTGTTCCGAGTCAGAAGGCTCCCCAATCTCATCTCGAAACACTGTCGCGAAAAATAACAGAAGCTGAAACTATAAAGAGATACAATTTTGAAAATTGTTTATTATTTATTGTCCTTACGCCGAAAAACCAAAATCCCTTAAAATGACTAAAATGTTCAGATAATGTAAAATAAAATATGGCATTTCGTTTAACTAAAATTAAATAAATAAACAACGAAAGAAAATTAAGAATTTTAGCAGACATATTTTCTTTTCTTAAGAATCTATAGTAAGCAGATTATAAGCACGGGTAAAATTTTTGAGACAAGAATGGAATAATCCCTTCAGTGAATCTAATTTAGAATTGTCTCTTTGACTAAAAACAAAAAAAAATATTTTACAGCAATTGTTTGAAGAACATATTGTAAGACAGCTGGTCATTTTATTTTGCCTTTTAAGAATGTTGTCTCTACAAAAGTGTGTATTGTTTGTGAAAATTGAGAAGAAGTGGGTAGTATTTTTTGCTATTCTTTGCCTCGAAATTTTCTGAAGATGCGATATTAATATTAAAAGAAGAAACTGGCTTTCTTTTCAGGAATAATTTTAAGCCCAAGTCTGAAATAAAGTTCAGATGTTACTGCAAAAAAAAACAAAAAAAAACTTGATAAGGGAAGTGGGTAAAATATGCAATATTATATATGAACTAGACAACAGGCGGCTAAAAGTTGCACACACTCAGGCAATTTTATCAAAAAAGGTGAAGCTAACCAAATTCTTTTTATTTAAGATTGTTTAGTCAAAGAGCCAATAGCAGATGACCCAATGAGGATAGAAGTCATTAAACTAGGAATGCCCCTAATCACCATTTTGTTGTAGCTCTTTAAATTAGATCATTGACTTAGTCTGGTATAAGGACAAAAAAGCCGCTCACTCAGTCAGAATGAAATTCACGATAGTCAAATTGTCTGCAGAAATTATTTTCGAAATATTTAATGAAGTCAACATAAGTCTGAGATGAGGTTTATATTCTCAACAAAAAATTGGCAGAAATTCTGTTAAATTATATAGATTCGCTCCTATGATTTTCTAGTAACGATTTTACTTAATTTTTGCAAGATCTCACGAGAAATTGTATAAAAGCTAAATAAAAGCACCTTATCCGTCGTATTCAATAAAATGTGCATGAAAGAAGGATTGCTGCCTAAATACACAAATATATATATATATATAATTATTTATTTAAAAATATGATTCCAACACGCTACATAAGAGTTCTCATGTTTCAAAACAAGAGCCGAAAACTTCAATATAATTATTTGAATTAAATTGAATTAAAGTACCAAGCTCTGTTCCATCTTCAAGCGAATTATTTTTTTGAATAACTTATTTCTGAAATTTACGTGTTTTAATAGCATATTCATTATTGAAATCAAAAATTCCCATGGTAACGGCTACAGCGATTGTTTAAATAGAAAGGGGTGTAGGGTGTTAATAATTTTTATCAGTATAGAGTTACATTCATAGATGTCAAGTCAGGGTAAGGTTGTGGTGTCTAAATTTAAAACGGAAGATGATTTCGCCTAGTCTGGTTTTGTGTATGTAAAAAAACTGCCGTAACATTTGTTTTTTGACGACTTCATAAAGGGTTATCTTTTATAGGGTATTTAAGCTATTTATTAGGACTATGGATTTTGAAAATTAATTTTATTGTTTGTTTGTTTTTATGCTAATTATTTAATGCAAAAATTTGATGATGTCGGCAAAAAACCGTTAACTCATGTCTATTGTTTAATAAATTTTTATGATTTAGAAACTTGATAATGTGTAGTTTTTCATGTAGGCATAAAGGGCATGGGTCATCCCAAGTTTTACCAGTTCTAGTTTTGTTTATATATATATATATATATATATATATATATATGGTGTTCCCTGCAAATATGCTCACTTTTTATCGACGTCGTCAATTTGAATATTTATAAACACATATTTAATATCATTTAAGATTTACTGTAATTCCCCATGTATAATACGCCTTTTTTCTAAAAACATAATAAGCAAAATCAGAGGTGCGTGTTATGCACAGGTACAAAAAATCTTTAAAAATCGCCGTAAAATAAGATAAAAATTATCATAAAACTAAATTAGAATAATATTATTCTATGTTTAAAATCATTTTTTTTTTTTAATAAGAATAGGAAACGCTGGCCGAAATGAAATTGGCGATTTACAATTTATAGGGATTGATTATCAAACAAGGGGTGCGTATTATGCGTGAGTAGAATCATTTTCCCACACTTTCAGCAGAATTTTAGTGGTGCGTATTATGGATGAAGGCGTATTATACATGTGGAATGACGGTACTTTAATCTTTGTAACTCAGTAATATTTCTTCATTGTAACCATTAATCGTATTTACAAGTCAATAAATACTGCACATATTTCCACTTAAACAGTGAGTATATTTTTGAGACAACCTGCATATGTAATTTTAATCATTTCACTCCAGGCAAGGCGGGAATGTCACTAGTGCACAGGGGGTTACGGAGAGTGAAGGGGAGAGAAAATACTGGGTTTAGGAGGGGGGATAAAAGATGAACGGGATTCAAGAAGATAGAAGATAGCGATTGACGTTGTATTTAAACTTTCGAAGATTGTAGCTATCAAGAAAGAAAGGAAACGGAAAGAAATTCCACAGGCGAGAAGTGCGAGAAGAGAAACTGCTGGAGTAGAAGTGGCGGTTGCATTTAACTAATTCAAAAGTAAAAGAGTGGGACCTAGATGCCAATCTAGTAGCACGCTTAAATTTTATATTTACATACGCTCTATCTCTGGTATTGAGTACTTCAAAAAATAAATACAGCATACTTTAAAACTATATTTTATCATATGTAATGCACACACACACACACACACACACACAAACATATATATATATATATATATATATATATATATATATATATATATATACATCTATATATTGAGAGAGAGAGGGGGGAGGGAGAGAGAGGGGGGAGAGAGAGAGAGAGAGGAATTCACTGTCTAAATTTTGGGAGGTGCCCCAATAGAACGGGGCATACTTATAAAAAATAAACTGATAGATGTGTATAGATTCAAATAGAGATTAAAAGAATCAGAGAAAATACATATTAATTGAATAAGAAAGAAAGAAAGAAAGAAAGAAAGATAGATAGATAGATAGATAGATAGATAGATAGGTAGATAGATAGATAGATAGATATAAAAAATAGGGCTCAAGCTGTATTGTGTAGACATATATTAATAGACTAAGAATGATTGAGGGACATATATGAACAGACTTAAATAGATAGATAGATAGATAGTAATAGTCTAGAATAGATAGATAGATAGATAGATAGATAGATAGATAGATAGATAGATAGATAGATAGATATAAAAAATAGGGCTCAAGCTGTATTGTGTAGACATATATTAATAGACTAAGAATGATTGAGGGACATATATGAACAGACTTAAAGAGATAGATAGATAGATAGTAATAGTCTAGAATAGATAGATAGATAGATAGATAGATAGATAGATAGATAGATAGATAGATAGATATAAAAAATAGGGCTCAAGCTGTATTGTGTAGACATATATTAATAGACTAAGAATGATTGAGGGACATATATGAACAGACTTAAATAGATAGATAGATAGATAGATAGATAGATAGTAATAGTCTAGAATAGATAGATAGATAGATAGATAGATAGATAGATAGATAGATAGATAGATAGATATAAAAAATAGGGCTCAAGCTGTATTGTGTAGACATATATTAATAGACTAAGAATGATTGAGGGACATATATGAACAGACTTAAATAGATAGATAGATAGATAGTAATAGTCTAGAATAGATAGATAGATAGATAGATAGATAGATAGATAGATAGATAGATATAAAAAATAGGGCTCAAGCTGTATTGTGTAGACATATATTAATAGACTAAGAATGATTGAGGGACATATATGAACAGACTTAAATAGATAGATAGATAGTAATAGTCTAGAATAGATAGATAGATAGATAGATAGATAGATAGATAGATAGATAGATAGATAGATAGATAGATATAGATAAAATAGGATAGCTCAAGATGTATTGTGTAGACATATATTAATAGACTAAGAATGATTGAGGGACATATATGAACAGACTTAAATAGATTGATAGATAGATAGTAATAGTCTAGAATAGATAGATAGATAGATAGATAGATAGATAGATATAAAAAATAGGGCTCAAGCTGTATTGTGTAGACATATATTAATAGACTAAGAATGATTGAGGGACATATATGAACAGACTTAAAGAGATAGATAGATAGATAGTAATAGTCTAGAATAGATAGATAGATAGATAGATAGATAGATAGTAATAGTCTAGAATAGATAGAAAGATAGATAGATAGATAGATAGATTGACAGACAGACAGAGATGAACAGTGTGCGATATATGTCGAAGGTTACTTTCTATTTCCGATCCAATCTAGTCAAATTTTCCCAATGACAATACTGTGTCCAATAGATTTTTGGAAATTTTAGTAATTACCCAATTTTTCATTCTGATAGATTTCAGTCAGTATTGGGAAATTTTAAGAATGTTCACAATGCCAGTTCTGTCACAGACCAATGAATTCTGAAAATTCTATTTTTCAGTGTTATTATTATTGATTCCTGTCTAATTTTACACCCTGCTTTTGTGTGTGTATGTATGTGTGTGTGTGTGTGTGTGTGTGTGTGTGTGTGTGTGTGTGTGTGTGTGTGTGACGGCGTTTCGAGCCGATAGATTCTTCGAACGCTAACGCGCTAAACAGTCGTAAATAAAAATGAGGTTTCGATGATTTCACAATCCGCTCGACAGGAATGGCGCCTACCTGATGTAGAGGCGGTAATAACTCACTCGCCTCGCAGGCCATACACAGTACTTTCAGTTTTCATTAGTTGCTCCACGAATGTATGTTTGTCCCAGACTTTGCTAAACTTCGTAAATAGTGTCATAATTTTCTAGCCCTTGGACAAAACTGGTTCGATTCTGACTGGGTACATCAAAAGGATTATCCTGAAGCAGTTTGTTTTAATCTTGGGAATATTATACGCGTTTTTTAAGACTTCACTTGGAAAAGTTAATGAATTTGACCCGAACACTAGAATTTTTTATATCAGGTGTCGACAACCTTTTGCAAAATATATGCCAACTTAAGGTTTAAAATCATTCCGTGTGACAACAGCATGCGTATTTTTATATAAGCCAAGGTCAATATACCTGTTCTATAACATATTTTATATAGTACAAATATATATAATAATATGTAAACCACATTAACATAAATAAACTGTTTTTAAAAGTTTTTTTTTCAGTTTTTATTATTAATGGGAGTCCAACGAGTGAGCAGTTTTGAAACAGGTAAATATCTGCCTTGTAGTAGTTAGTGATGTCATTTGCAGCTGCGTGCCATTAGAAATTGCTTGACGTGCCACGCGCGGCACGTGTGTCGTAGATTGTTGACTCCTGCTTTATATAAGTGTTTATTTGTACAAACGTGCTTATATGAACGTGAAAAGAAATATGTATTTTAAAGTTCATGCCTTTTCTGCAAATAAATAAAACGAATGATAAACATGGCGGAATTAGTGTGTTTCTTTGTACTTTATGCTAATCTTTTAAAAAAAGAAACAGGAAATTTGTGGCTCATGCCTTTTCTGAAAAAGAAATCGGAATTTTGTGGTTCATGCTTTTTCTGTCAAAGAAATTGTACAAATAATTGTCAAGACGGAATTACTTTATTTTTTGTATTTTATGCTTATCTTTAAAAAAAACAGAAAATTTGTGGTTCATGCCTTTTCTGAAAAAAGAAATAGGAATTTTCTGGTTCATGCCATTTCTGAAAAAGAAATGATACACATGATTGTCAAGGCGGAATGAATCTGTTTCTTTGTATTATTATTATTGATTTCATGTTGCTTTGAAGAAAAAGAAAAAACACAAATCTAAAAGCATACCAACTGAATTCATTATAGACTGGCAGATTTTCCAAGAAATAATGGGCTAATTAAACACCCTTTAGAATCGAAAACAAGACCTGACAGTCTTCAGTCCAATATTTTGCAATTTCCTCAGAGAAGCCTTCTAATTGATTCTTTAACAGGGAGAATGCGTCACTATCAGCACCAGGTTATAAAAAAAAATACAGTTCTCAACGGAGTGATTCTCCAAGACACGATCTGTTACGCATGCATCTAAATGGCACCATTATGTACCAATCTGATTGGTGCATTTTAAAGAAATATTTCGTGTCTTCCCATTGGTTGAAAGAGTTACATCTTTCCAATTTCAACGCTTACAAAGTGGGTTCGAACCTGAAAAAAGTACTACTATTCTAATTGGTAAATCTTCCAAATTCGGAAGATTGTTTCAGTACAAATTTATTCGTTTATTTCATATTTTCTTAGCCTTGTACCTCACTTGGATATGCTTAGTGCCCAGAGGATTCAGTATCTGTCTATATTTCTGAGATGAGGTATTATGTATACTATATACATTATTTGGACTATTGTCCTCATCTTTGTCGCCATATTTATCACTCTTCAGTATCTGTCTATATTTCTGAGATGAGGTATTATGTACATTATTCGGACTATTGTCCTCATCTTTGTAGCCATATTTATCACCCTTCAGTATCTGTCTATATTTCTGAGATGAGGTATTATGTACACTATTTACATTATTCGGACTATTGTCCTCATCTTTGTCGCCATATTTATTACAACGTTTCGGCCGTTGTACGCTCCGGCCTTCTTCAGGTGGTTGGAATGTCGAACTAAACCCTTTATTTCGCTCACTGGGGTAGACTATTCTAGTTCCATGTGCCATGTCTAATGGATGTCAGTTATTATTTATCTCCTGTTAATTCCCCTCTCCAAGTTCTCCTCCGCCTTAACCAGGTATATATATATATATATATATATATATATATAAGTCACCCCCAACAACTTTTTTTTTAATAAAAGGTTCGTTTTCTTCTAAAGCAGACATCCGAAGAGTCTGCGATTTTACGCAATCAAAACGGATATTATTAGAATTGAAAGTCTTTAACCAAAATATATCTGTCCAAAAATAAGTCTATCCCTGCGAAAGAAGTCATTTAAAATCAATATTTGTTGTGGCCGCTTCTATTTTCTTATTACTGCTTGTACTCTTGACGACATTATCCTTACTAGACGTGCACAATCAATGGAACATTTTTTCTTTTTTTTTTTTGTCAAATCCGACAGTACGCAGTTTTTAAATTGTATCTTAGATAACCGTCGTATTTCAACTTCCCATTTAAATCCATTCCTCAAGTTCTCAGTTTGATTTATATCCGTTGACATGCTTGGCCAATCGAAGACCTTTCACTTTTTGCTTCTTCTGAATTTCTCTTTTCTTCTCATACCCAAATATTGCTCTTCTTTGCAAATGTTTGAGTGAAGCCATCTTGTTTTCTTACAACATTTCAATCTTCATCATTCATAATTCAGTCGATGAAATGTAAATCACAAAGTACCATTGGAGTTTATATAATTCCAGACTCTGACGTTTCAACCATCATGCTTAACTCTTGAGATCAAACTTTTTTTGTACACCTCACGATGCTGACACCAAACTTGTGAAATGCCATCAGCCTCGAATAGGTTGATTTTTTTCATCTGACCACAGTATGCTGTCCAAAAATGTTACATTTTTATGTTTATTCCACTATACAAACTCTAAATAAGACTGTGTTTTGAATACAGTAGGTATCTTATTAGCATACTAGCAACATGGCCCGGCGTTGCCCGTGCTTATTCAAAAATCGTACGACTCATACAGCAATCGCTATCACTTGACTTAAAATAATTTTGCCCTTCCTTGCCTTTAAAGGAGTGCCATTTGTCGTGCTGATGTTGCTACATGCCTTACTTCTTGCCTATCTCACACTGCGAATTTTTTCTAAGCTATATACTAAACATTAAATCTGTTACGAAAAAAGAACTAAACAAAATGAACACAAAACGATCAGCTTTAAAAAAGGACTCGTAACTTGAAAAACCGAATGAAAAAAGAATGTTAGCAACAAATACTTTTTCACACCCAATCCAGTTCTCCGGAATCAGAATCAACGTTGAGTTTAAGCAAGCTAATAAGCCAATTGGAGTAAAGTGCCATGCAGATTTAAATTTTTCTCACTTGTGACGAATGCATTCTATCGATTTATTTTTGCATGCTAGTTAACATTCGTGTCAGTCAGTTGTTGGCTCTTACGCTGGCCAATAGAATCTTCCTGCTTATTCGTTGCAGCCAGCTATAGACTCTCACTCTGGCCAGTACAAAATGGCCGCAAACTACATTAAAACTGCCGTAGAAGCATGAAAAAAATCGATTATTTCCACTATCGATGGGAGTTGGGAAATACAAAGTCGGTCTTGACCTTTTTGCTAACTTGGAGCATGTGCATGAAAATTGCGGCCGTGCATTCATTACACACACACACACACACACACACACACACACACACATCCTGTCTTTTATAGATAGAAAACATCAAAAAATTCACAGCACAAACTTTTTCTTATTTCATGTTTCAAAAACAGGAGCCAAAAACTTCAATATAATTATTAAAATTAAATTGAATTAAAATATCAAGCTCTGTTTCATCCTCGAGCGAAATTTTTACACGAGAACTCTTACGTACCAAAGGAATCATATTTTGAAAAGATAATTATAATTTAGGCTACACTTTTGTATTGAGCACTGTTTTTTTTTAAATAAAAACAAAAATACTAAAAAAACTTCGGATTATTTACCTAACGTGTTCTTTCCTATTTTTCTATATGATTGCAAATATATATATATATATATATATATATATATATATATATATATATATATATATATATATATATATATACGTAGATTGTTAAAGTGCTGTGCGTAGGAATATAAATGTAGGTTTCTTTATATTATAAATATTGGTTTGGGGCTGTTGACATTGACCACTTTCCGTGTTTATTTTTGCATTTTCTATATTTGTTCATTAACTATCACACACACACACACACACACACACACACACACACACACACACACACACACACATATATATATATATATATATATATATATATATATAAATGGAATGGAAAACAAACAATTATTTTAAGACATGTTTATACATTCTTTTTATAAATACAAATATTTAAGTAAATGCTGTTTATAATAAATAGTATTAAACAACATTTACCGGCCTGAATGTCCGAGAAATTTTCATAGAAAATACTGTTTATCATAAACAGAGCATTTACTTAAATATTTGTATCTATAAAATGAATGTATAAACATAAAAATGTCTTAAAATAATTGTTGCAATTTGTCCATTGCATAATGTGTGACGTCATTTGTTTACACTTGGATACGCCATGAGCAGATATGAGTGTACGTGAGAGAATCTTGGAAGATTGTAGTTTAAAAACAGTAAAATCGACTTTGCTAAACGAACGCTCCTCTGTGGCCAAATCGGTTAAAGACACGTCAGGCTATATGACGGTTCCAGGTTCGATTCCAGGACGAATATTTTCTATGAAAATTTCTCGGACATTAAGGCCGGTAACTGTTGTTTAATACTGTTTATTGTAAACAGAGCATTTACTTAAATATTTGTATCTATAAAAACAATGTATAAACATAAAAATGTCTTAAAACATATATATATATATATATATATATATATGTGTGTGTGTGTGTGTGTGTGTGTGTGTGTGTGTGTATCTAGCAAAACCTCAGGTGTTGATGCAATGCATAATCTTAATAACTTAAGATACGCTGATGACACTGTGTTGATATCAGACAGAAAGGAAAGTGCAGTAATTCGTACACAAGAGAAGACTAAACAATTCATTC